GCCGGAGTCCAGCAGGTTGAGGCTGCGGTGGCCGGGAGTGTGCCACTGCACTCCAGTCTGGGTGACAGAGTGAGACTCCAACTCAAAAAAAATAAAAATAAAAGGTAAAAAATAAATAAATAAAACTCAATAAATAAATAAATAAATAAGACCCCTACCTATCGCCATACACAAAAGTCAATTCTAAATGAATCAAAAACCTAAATGTAAAATTTCAAACTATAAGAACCTTAGAAAATGCAGGAGACACCCTTACAGAAATTGGAACCAGCAATCAATTCCTGATAAAAACCCTAAGTGTCCATACCATAAGAGATAAGATAGACAAGTTGATACTCATCAAACTAATAATCTTCTGCAAAGCAAAAGAAACCATCAGGATTGCTGGGAGACAAGCTACAGACTGGGAAAGAATAATTGTCAACTCTATATATGACAAAGGCCTAACATCTAGAATCTACAAGGAAATTAAATGTGCTGTAAAGAAAAAAGCAAACAGCCCTATCAAAAAATGGGCAAAAGATATGAATAGACACTTCTCAAAAGAAGATATATGAGCCACCAACAGATACATAAAAAATGCTCAGCCTCACTAATCATCAAAGAAATGCAAATTAAAACCACACTAAGATACAACCTAGCTCCAGTCAGGATGGTCATCATCAGTAACTCAAAAAAAAAAAAAAGAACACATCCTTAGTATCCCAAGTGGAAGTTAAGTTTTCTTCTGTTAAACTGCCAAAGCACTTTATTAGAATCACTCTAATGGCCTTACAATATATTGCACTTTATCTAACTATTTGGGATATATATGTTTCTCTCTTGTAGGTAGCATCTGGTTAATTATTCTGTTCACTATAGTACTTAATTCAGTGTACAATGTTATCAAAAGTAGATATGTAACAAATTAATATGATTGACTTGGATAGAGATGAGAGCAATCAGTTGAGTGCTAGATATAGGAGATGGAGGATAGAAAATTAGTGGGGATGTATTGCTGCCAATCCTAATTTTATTGCTGTTATTTCTAGATCTATCTTTGTAATTCATAGTTCCTCCATAGCATTTAGATATGGCAAAATTCAACATATGGGGTCAGTAAGGCATGTTTCAGACAACACTATCTTACCAATTGGCCATGTTGTATCTTGTGTTCAATTTTTCTGTGAGCCTAAAACTGTTCTTAAAAAAAAATCAATTAAAGAAAATCAAATTATCTGATTAAGTGGAACACAATGGCATTTTTCACTTAGAAGTTTTAACTTCTGGCCGGGCTCGGTGGCTCAACCTGTAATCCTATCACTTTGGGAGGCCGAGGCAAGTGGATTGCCTGAGTCCGTGGGTTTGAGACCCACCCAGGCAACTTGGAGAGACCTCATCTCTACAATAAATCAAAAATTAGCTGGGTGTGGTAGCACACACCTGTAGTTCCAGCTACTTGGAAGGCAGAGGCAGAAGGATAGCTGGAGCTCAGCAGGTCAAGGCTGCGGTGGGAGCGTGCCATTGCACTCCAGTCTGGGCAACAGAGACGCCAACTCAAAAAAAAAAAAATTTTAACTTCTTAAATATGCATAGCTTAGCTTTATGAAATTAGTTTGTGGTCCCCTTTATGTACAGCAAAAGGCATTAGGGGAAGATGATGCTGAATTAAGCAGCAGGAAAAACAGCCTGCAAGTAAAACTTATAAAGAAAAAATGGGACCGGGCACAGTGGCTCATGCCTGTAATCCCAGCAAATTTGGGAGGCCAAGGCAGGAGGATCCCCTGAGTCCAAGATTTTGAGACCAGCCTAGGCAACATAGCGAGACCTTGTCTCTACAAAAAAATTTTTTTAATTAAATAAAAAAGCCAAGTGTAGTGGTATGCACCTGTAGTACCAGCTACTAGGGAAGCTGATGAGGAAGGATCATCTGAGTCCAGGAGGTCAAGGCTATGGTGAGCTGTGATCGTGCCACTGTACTCCAGTCTGGATGACAAAATGAGACCCTGACTCAAAAAATACCATGACACTTGTGTAATGGACAACTAGACGTGGTGGGTTTTTTTTTTTCTGTTTTTTTGTGGGGTTTTTTTGACTTTTTTTCTGTTAAGGAAAGCAGTTTTTGAAAAAGGGTGTCTAATATTCATATTTTAGAATAAAAAAACTCTGCATACTGTGATTTATGTAAAAGGTGTTTATTTTCCTTTTAACAATATTAAAACAAGTAAATTATTTGCAGTTCAGTAATACAATGGGCACATAATAGAGTCAACCTTTCAAAAGTCACTTTTGGTGTAATCACAGTAAAATAGTACAATTAGACAATTATTTCCCTTGACACCTCATAAAATTGCCTACTCATTTCACATTCTTCTTTTAATGTTCTTCATTGAATTGCTTCATTTTATAAAATTTCAAAGTTCCATCATAAAATGTACCCATCACCATCATAAATTGACTTATTTCAATTCTATTTACTATTAAGCCTATCACCAAGCATCACACTTGAAAGACACTTACAAATGCTTCCTTACTTCAAGTGTAAAACTAATTATTCGCCCACAGAGTCATAAGAAAGTATTTAATTTAATTTATTTATTTATTTTGAGTCGGAGTCTCACTCCGTCACCCCAGCTAGAGTGCAATGGCACGCTCACAGCCACTGCAGCCTCGACCTGTTGGTTTCAGGCGATCCTTCCACTTCAGCCTTCCAAGTAACTGGAACAACAGGTGCACGCCACCACTCCTGGCTTATTTTTTTATTTATTGTAAGAGACGAGGCCAAGTTGCCCAGGCTGGTCTTGAACCCCTGAGCTCAGGCAGTACTCTCGCCTCCGCCTACCAAAGTGCTTGGATTACAAGCATGAGCCACTGCACCCGGCAAAAAAGTACTTTAAATAGCCAAATATAAATGAAATGGAGCTTGTGATATAAATCTTCTAAGAAAAAAAGTTGGATAAGCCAGAGGGGATTTTTTGTCACTGTTACTGTTTATTGTTTATAAAGGGTCCTCTTTTGTTATTATTTTTAATTACACAATGTTAAATGTATTATTTTATTTAAAAAGACTTTAAAGTGCTTTTTAGAAAACAGGCAGGATCTAGTTTTTTTTAATAAATAGTACAATGTGAAGATAGCTTCCCAATGCTAAATCAAAATAAACACGTTCTCTAAAGAACATCCACAATTACTGTCAATTTTATCATAGATATATGCACAGAGAATCATAAGTATCAGTTCACCTGATTATATTAATTTTCTTATAAAGAAAAATACCTTTCATATATCCTTGCACAAAGATACTATTACTGCATATGATTAATGTTGAAACCAACTAGCTTAAGAAATGTTCAAGAAATTTTGAACCCTATGTTCATTCTTTTTCAAGTTTATAATAAAATTAAGAAATTATAAAATGCTAGATATAAAAGTTTGTTATAAATTGAAAGCTATATTGAATATGAGGGCTGAGGGTATATCTTTCTCAATAAATAAAGTATTCTTTGACAAATGCAATATAAGCAGTGCGTTTTTAATTCCTGATTTTTTTAGAGTTAATATGCAAGATTTGATTAGACAATTCTGATATAATAGTAGAACTCAAATTATCTCACGCATAATCTGAAAAATATCAGATGTAATTGACAGTGATTTTTTAAAATGTAAACATTTCCTTTCATTTGTGTGTTGTGTTACAGTTTAGAAGTAGTCCATGTATAACACAATTAAAATTATCTTATCTCTAAATCTCTACATAGTCATGGTAAGAATAGCCATAAACAAAAGTCAAAATTGCATTCTTGATTTTTTTTAAATGCAAAACAGTATTGAGAAACCATCAACCATTTTCTAACTTATTTTTCTTAATCCATTATATCAACATGCATATTTTCATAAAGACCTATAGATACTATATACAATAGTATAACATATAGACTCTTCAATCAAAAGTTTCTACTGTGCAAATGTGCTAAAATAGAATTTCCCTGAGATGATTTGTCTTGCTGGTCCACAGAAGTCACTGTAAAGCTGTATTCAGATTTAATTTGAATTATAATTTAATCTGACATCCATTTTAAATAAATTTTAATTTTTGTTGTTGGGGTTTTTTTTGTTTTGGTTTTTGAGTTGGAGTCTCACTCTGTCACCCAGGCTGGAGTGCAGTGGCAGGTTCACAGCCACTGTCTCGACCTGCTGGGCTCAGGTGATCCTTCTGTCTCAGCCTTCCAAGTAGCTGGAAGCACAGGCATATGCCACCACACCTGGCTAATTTTTTTTATATATTATAGAGACAAGGTCTCACCATGTTGCTCAGGTTGGTCTGAGCTCAGGCAATCCTCTCACCTCTCCCTCCCAAAGTGCTGGGATTACAGGCTTGAGCCACTGCGCCCAACTGTTTTAATTTTTTTTTATCAGAAATGTATTTGTGCAAATATTTCTTTTAAGTGGACTGTTTATAAATTTACTACTAAAACAATGTAATCTGAAAACTCGTTTAGAATGAAATATTTTGGAAACATACAAAGATGTACGTGAATGGCTACTTTAGAAATAACTTTCAGCTGGGCATGGTGGCTCACATCTGTAATTCCAGCACTTTGGGAGGTGGAGACAAGAGGATTGCCTGAGTCCAGAGGTTCAAGACCAGCCTGGGCAAATTGGCAAGACTTTGTCTCTAAAATAAATCAAAAAATTAGCTGAACATGGTGGTACACATGTCATTCCAGCTACTTGGAAGGCTGAGACGGAAGGATCACCTGAGCCCAGCAGGCCGAGGTTGTAGTGGCTGTGAGCATGCCACTGCACTTCAGCCTGGACAACAGAGTGAGACTCCAACTCAGAAAAAAAAAAGAAAGAAAGAAAGAAAGAAAGAAGAGAGAGAGAGAGAGAGAAAGAAAGAAAGAAAGAAAGAAAGAAAGAAAGAAAGAAAGAAAGAAAGAAAGAACTTTCATGTTATCTCTTCAAGTGCAAAAATCAATCTCTTCTATACTTTTAAGATGTATGAACATTTAACTACTTCAAAAAAAGTATTTAAAAAGTAAAAAAGCTTCCCAAACATCCACATTGTTCATGTCAGAAGATTTTTACATTTTTAAAGATCAGACAAGCATTAATTAGTTCAAAAGATTGGCTCTTTTTCTTTCATTTACATAACCAAGCAGGCTCTTACTCGAGTATGTTTAATTAGGAAGCCATTCACATGAAATAACTTCTCATTGAATGTTCTCAGAAATGTTGCTGAGATAATCTTCAGACTTCATTATAAAATTTGTCCATTCCTGACAAATGTCCTCCATGGAGAATTCTTCACCACCATATTCCAGAGGAAGAATGTCAGGGAAGTGCTGAAGTAAGCTTTGTTTGTAATTGTTCCCATGCATATGCATCTGAAATAGCCAAAACATTTTAGAAGGTATTCCCTTGACCTCTCACTATGTTAGCTGCATTTCCAATGGAAAACCAACCTTATAAAACAAAGTACTCTAAAAGCTTCTAAAATAGGAGAATATGTATAGACACTACATCCTTTATTCCTCTGCTTATGAATCTAGGAGTTTCACTTATGTTTAGTTTGTGCTCTTGTGAATCGAATGATCTTACTGTTTTCTTAAATTTGCATTCCTATCATTGCAGAAAATTTATAAAAAGGTATGCCTTTTCTCAAAACTAGAATTTTGAACACTAAATAAAATTATTTTAAAAATTCTAACCCCTGATATACAGGTTATTCTTACTAAACTAACTCATATCCAGGGACTATTCTATAGATTATAAAAGTTTACTAGTCAAAATTAATTAATTAATTAATATATATCTGAGTAGGTATACACAATTAGGTATGTGAAGTGTGTATTTATGTGGTATAGTAGATAGATATGCTTGGCTAGTACAAAACTAGTAAGCAATTATGATGGTTGAGAGCCTTACATTTTCAAATACTTTAAACTATAAAAATTGATCATAGTATGCCCTGAAGTTAAGATAAAGCCATAGAACTTTGAACCAAAAGCACATCTTGCTAAAATAAATAACTAACCTTTTCCATTTGCTGGGGCAAACTGTTCATCTGTGCATTCAACAATCATTTAATAAGCTCCCACTTGCTAGAAAAACTACATAGTCATATGCTGAAGAATGAAACTGGACCCCCAACTTATCACCATAAACAAAAATTAACAAGGTGAATTAAAGGCCTAAACGTAAGACCTGAAACTATAAAAATCCTAGAAGAAAACCTAGAAAAAACTCTTCTGGACATTGGCCTAGGCAAAGAATTTATGACCAAGTCTTCAAAAGCAAACACAACAAAAACAAAAATAGATAAATGACACTCAATTAAACTAAAAAGCTTCTGCACAGAAAAAGAAACAATCACCAGAGTAAACAATCTATAGAATGGGAAAAATATTTGCAAACGATGCATCCAACAAAAGGCTAATATCCAGAATCTACAAGGAACTCAGACAACGCAGCAAGAAACAAAAAGAAAACTTCATTAAAAAATGGTCAAAGGGCTGGGTGCTGTGGCTCATGTCTGTAATCCCATTACTTTGGGAGACTGAGGCAGGAGGATTACTTGAGCCCAGGAGTTCAAGACCAGCCTGGGCAACATAGAGACCTCTACAAAAATATTAAAAATCTAATTGGGTTTGGTGGCACTCACCTGTAATTCCAGCTACTTGGGAGGCTAAGGAGGAAGGATCACCTGAGCCCGGAGGTCAAGGTGTGAGCCATGAACATGTACTCTACTCCAGACTAGACAACATAATGAGACCTTGACTCATTAAAAAAAAAAAAGTGGGTAAAGGATATGAACAGAGACATTTTTCAAAAGAAGACATACAAGTGGACAACAAACATGGAAAAATTCTCAACATTCCTAATCATCAGAGAAATGCAAATTAAAACCACAGTGAGATACCTTCTTACACCAGTCAGAATTGCTATCATTAAAAAGCCTAAAAACGATGGATGTTGGCCAGGATGTGGAAAAAAGATAATGCTTATACACTGTTGGTGGGAATATAATTGAGTACAACTTTTGTGGAAAACAGTGTGGAGATTGCCTATGACCATTATCCTAGTAAAACAACTCAAGTAGTCAAATATCTCAGGTTCTCACTTATAAATGAGGGCTAAGCAATGGCTACACATGAATATATTAAGTGGAAAAATTGACATTAGAGACTACAAAAGGTGGGAAAGTAGGAAAGGGGCTAGGGTTGAAAATTACCTGTTAGGTACAATGTTCACTGTTGTTGATGAGTACATTTAAAGCCCACACTTCACTGCTGGGCAACATACGCATGTAAGAAACCTGTTCTTATACCCCCTAAATATAGTAAAAGTAATAATAATATTTAAAGACAAAAATAAGCACCTGCTATGTGCTAGGATGGGAGGATTAAGTAATGAAATAAGTATCCTATACTCAGGAAGCTCACAATCCCAATCCTTAATTTTTTTCTGAAATATTTAAAATATTATCAGTTAGTCAAGAACAACTTCTGGGGAGGGAGGGGCACACCTCATCAACAAGGGTACCTGCATAATGAACATTTGTATATCTAGCCCTGAATTGTACCCCACATCTTTAAAATTAAAAAAAAAGAATAACTTCTATCTTCTCACAAAAAAAGCAAAAATAAACAAAACAAAAACAATGTATAGGGTGTTGCCAGAAAGTCAAAAAGGGAAAAAAGTGGCTAGATTGGGATTTTTACCTATTTTGGTAAGTCTGTTTCATAATCACTAACTTTCACAGAAGTGCCTCACCTAACTTCTCAATTGTTTTCTTTTTCTTTCTTTTATGTCCTTATTCCATGTATTAGGCTCAATTTATTCTTGCTTTTGTTTTATTTGTCCAAAATATAACTCAAGATGGGAATGCATATTAAGAGTTAAACAGAATGACCAGCTGTTATCAAGTGACAGTGAAGAGTAGGAAAAAAAACTGAATTTTATAAAAATCCTAGAATCAGCAGGGCTTGGTGGCTCAGCCTGTAATCCCGCGCCTTTGGGAGGCCGAGGTGAGTGGATTGCCCGAGCCCGTGGGTTCGAGACCCGCCTGGGCAACTTCGTGAGACTTCATCTCTACAACAAATAAAAAAATTAGCCAGGCATGGTAGTTCCAGCTACTTGGAAGACTGAAGCGGAAGGATCACCGGAGCCCAGCAGGTCGAGGCTGCGGTGGCCGGGAGCAGCCACTGTACTCCAGTCTGGGCGACAGAGTGAGACTCCAACTCAAAAAATAAATTAATTAATTAATTAAAAAAAAATCCTAGAATCAAAAGTGACAAAAGTGGTCATCTTCACTAAAACAGACAGTTCAAAGTGGCTTTTCTTGAAGACAAATAGATACACCCACTGGATTACCTTTAAAGAAACTCTAGGGGCACAATTTTCAACCAGGTACAAAATGTTGTATTTTCCTTAATATGACAAAATACAGTTTTCAAAATTCAAATATTCATATTATCACTATTGATATTGAAATAATTTTTTCATATGGAATTCTTTTGTTATTCTGTAAAAGGCAACAAAACTTTCCCTTTTGAAAACTGTTACAAACCCTCATTATCACTTATCTATAAATACTATATCCTGTAGCTGATCATTAATTAGGCTATAAGTCCAACAACGTACTCTAACTGTTAAGCAAAAAAACAAGCAAAAAAGTTTATCCCAGTGTGCCTTCCTGCCCCATTCATCTGGAGTGACACTGCGGTCTCTGCCAGCCGCACTGAGTGAAGGGAGCAGTGAAATCATTGTGTGTTGCCCCAGAGTGCGTCAGACTCAATTCCCAAGGTAATTTTCACCCCTCAAAACACAAATATACTAAGAGGGCTCCCACACAGAAATGAAAAACAAATCAATCATTCTGAGCTCATTTCAAATACAGAAAAAGTATGGCACAGATGTAAGCCACCACCCGGTTTTCTTTAATGATCCTGACTCTTGTATCCCACAGGCCAGCATGAAGTGTGTCACTCAGACTCTGCAGACTGTCTTCCTTATTTCAATCCGTCCTGCTCCAAGCACAACACAAGAAATGATCTGAGAGCAATCATAAACATCAGGCCCGTTTGGCACGATGATACAATTGGGGAAAACAAACCAGGGAGTAGGTCACCGGTTCCCAACCCAGACCCCCGCCTGGATCACTGCTCTCTTTCCAAAGGATGGGATGGGTGAGGGGCTTGGATGTGGAGCCCCAAAGATGCAAGCCTGACAGGCTAGAGCGGGCCGCCCCTGCCCGGGGTCCGGGCCTAGCTGTTACACGGTCTCGAACTCGTTGATCCGCTGCTTGGTGTTGCCCTGCCGATCGGCCGCAGCGCCTGATCCCGGCCCTGCCTCATGTTCTCGTTGTGGATGATGTCACTGTGGGTCCGCTAGTTCTGGTCCCTGGCCTGGGGCAGCTCATGGCTCCGCGGAAGCAGCTGCCGCTGAGCTCCTTTCTCTAGCCTCGAGGATGCGCTTCTCGTTGCGGTCGTCGAGGCCACGCTCGCTGGACAGCTCCACGCTGCAGCCCCTTTGCTCCACACCCTCGTGCTCCCCTGGACGTGGGAACTCATGGGCACCGACGCAGGGGGGGGCGGGGGGCGGAGGGGCCGTCATCACCAGGTGCCCCCCTCCTTGGTCTTCACCAGCTGGTCCTGGGCTTCTCTGGCACTGCGCTGCCGATCCTCCATCTCGTCCTCGTCCCTCGCGCCTCGTCCAGGAGGGCGATCTTGGCGGTGTACGCCGCAAACTTGCCACCAGCTGCTCCTGGTCCCTGATCTGATCGTCTCTCCAGCTCTTTCTTGGTCCACAGTGCAGCCACACGGTCAGCCTCTGTCAGCCGCCAGGTGCTCGGCCTCCTTGTGCGCCTGCCTCCAGCTGCAAGCCTCTCTGACTCAGCTCCAAGAATTCTTTCTCTGCCTTTTTTTTTTTTTTTTTTTTGAGTTGGAGTCTCACTCTGTCGCCCAGACTGGAGTGCAGTGTCTGCTCCCAGCCATCGCAGCCTTGACCTGCTGGGCTCTGGTGATCCTTCTGCCTCAGCCTTCCAAGGAGCTGGAACTACAGGCGCACGCTACCACACCCGGCTAATTTTTTTGATTTATTGTAGAGATGAGATCTCACCAAGTTGCCCAGGCGGGTCTCGAACCCGCGGCCTCAGGCAATCCACTCACCGCAGTCTCCCAAGCTGCGGGATTACAGGCTGAGCCACCGAGTCCGGCTCTCTGCCTTTTTTGGGGGGGGTGGGGGGTAGTTAGAGTCTCACTCCATCGCCCAGGCTAGAGTGCAGTGGCACGCTCACGGCCACCCCAGCCTCTACCTGCTGGGTTCCAGCAATCCTTCCACCTCAGCCTTCCAAGTAACCGGAACTACAGGCACCACCTACCACGCCCGGTTAAGTTTTGATTTTTCTTAGGGACAAGGTCTCGCCAAGTTGCCAGAGCTGGTCTCGAACCCATGGGCTCAGGCAATCCCCTCACCTCGGCCTCCCAAAGTGCTGGGATGGCAGGCTTGAGTCACTGCACCCGGCCTTTCTCTGCCTTGGGGGCGTCTCCTCAGCCCTGCAGCCTAAGCATCAGCCCCTCCTTCTAGTGCATCATCTGTTCTTTCTCTTGTGCGACAATTTCCCTCCTTTTCTTCTCAGTGTCCAACTGTCGCGACTCCAACTGCTTCTGGTGCTTCTCCTCCCCTGCCTGGGCCTTCAACTGCAGCACCTCGACGGTGTTGGACTTCCTGCAGTGCATGGACAGCTCATGGCTCCCCATGTAGAGCTGCAGGATCTGCTTGTTAATTCTAAGGCATGGGAGGGAGAGGGCGGTGCATGAACATACAGTCAGGTGCCTTCTTGTCGATGGGTTTAACGGCAAAAAGTTTGTCACCGAAAGAGGTGTTCCTGATTTCACTCCAAGGGAAGCCAGTCTTTGGGGTCAATGTATCATCCTTCTCGTATATATTTAGAATGAGGGCATCGACTCCAAGCCAAAGTCTGCTCCTTTCTTATTTTTTTTTTTTTTTATCTCTAAGTATTGATTTTGTACATGTCCAGGTCCTGGACAATCTCCAGGCCCTCCAGCATGGCACTGTCTTTGAACATCTCATGGTGTTCCACGTGCCACACCTGGATATGGTCCTCCCACTGGTCCCTGGTAGTTTGTACTGGTTCATGACTCTTTGAGGGATCAGCCGCTCAGACCTGAGGTACCCAGGCACGAGGATTTCTTTGTTATAGTCCCCAGACTTGGCCTGCACAGCGTAGGACCCCAGGAGCACTGCAGTCTCAGGGGAGCAGTAAATCTCGTCACTAAGAATTCCCTCCTTTACTTGGAAGAAGAACAGTTTCTGGATAACTCTGGATGAGTTCCTCAGACACATCTTCGGGGTAGAACTTGGCCCAGAACTTGAACTGGAGGGGATTCTCCTTCCTGAGCTCCTGGGCAGACACCTTCTTATCAAGTTTCAGCCAGTTAGGAAATCCTTTATTATCCACTTACTGGAAGGCCAAAGTTCCACACTTCCTGGAAGCCGATAGTCTTAACCATCTGGTCAAAAAGCTGGGTCTTTTTCCCCCTTTGTGTCTGGCTAGATTGCAAACTCCAGCTGTGTATCCACAGTGGCAACTTGGGCATTGATCCACAGGCCCTGGCCAGCCAGGAGGCTTCGCTGCCTCCCAGGGCACGCTTCATCTTCTGCGACCTCCAGAGTTGCACCACACTGCCTCGCCATGTTTCCTTTGCATATCTGCCTCTCCTGAGAGGCTGAGCACTCCGTAAATGCAAAACCAATCTTCTTTGTGTTGTCCCAGCACCGGGTACATAAAGGCATAGAATAGGGCTTCGATACTTGAGGAAGGAACCATGTGACCAATGAGGGAATTCTGACAATGGTTTTGGCATTTTTGGTTCCTGATGGGTTTTCTCACTCCCTAGGAAACGCAACTCTCCAGCAGCAGCAGAGATGGTTCTTCCAGCCGTGACACCCACCATGCACTGTGCTCCCATGGTCTGTGCATCCACCACCGACACGCCCAAGAGGCCCCGGACAGTATTTAAATAATTGTTGAGATCTAAGTTGTCAAAATCTTTAAGATTTGTTTTGTGCTCAAGGCCTTATATGATACCAATGCCTGTTTAAATAAACGTTCTAAAAATTCTCCTCTACAGATTAATGTGGAAGAATGGTTGACATTCTCAAGAACTAAGTCTCTATTTGCAACCTTTCAAAAATTCTAAGACATATTAGATATTCACCTGAGCTAAGGCTCCACAAGAAAGGTAAAAGACATCAGATGTCTTTGTTTTAATTAGTGTAACATTAAGTTACATGCCTTGGGTACGGTGGTTTTCAGTTATAGTGAAACTGTTTAATTACACTTTACTGTTGAATTTTTTTGTTTGTTTGAGTAGGGGTCTCACTCTGTCACCAAGGCTGGAGTGCAACAGCCCACTCAAGGCTTACCACAGCCTCAGACTCCTGGGCTCAAGTGATTCTGCCTCAGCCTCCTGAGTAGCTGGGACTACAAGGCATGTGCCAGCTTGCCCAGCTAATTTTTTTATTTCTTGTAAAGAGGAAGTCTCACCATGTTGCCCAGGCTGTTCTCAAACTCCTGGACTCAAGTGATCCTCCCACCTTGGCCTCCCAAAGTGCTGGTTTACAGACAAGAGCCACCATGCCTAGTACTGTTTAATGTTTTAAAGTATTTCTTTTTGTTCCCATGCCTAGTACTGTTTAATGTTTTAAAGTATTTCTTTTTGTTTGTATAAATAACACATTCACATGGCTGAAATTAAAACAAGATTAAAAAAATACACAGTGAGAGGTCTAAGCGCCCAACTTATTCTCATTTTTTTCAGTCCACACCTTCACTCCATACTTATATGGTTCTCTATAAGTAACCATTTATATTATTTTTGGCATATCATTTTAGTGTAACTTTTAGGAAAACATAAATATATTCTGATTTCTCCCTTTTTGATACAAAAGGTAGCATACCATAAACATTAGTCCTGCATTTTACTTATTTCACTTTACAAGACATCCTTCAATTCTTTTTTGTATTCCATTGTGTGTATGTACCATAGTTTATTTAACCAGTCCTCTAATGATGAACACTTGTTGGTTTTCAATTTTTGCTGCAATTAATCCTCTCGTATATGTAATTTTGTTTATATACAGATATAACTAGGGGATAAATTCTACCCTACTAGGAGATAAATTCTGATAACTACTACCACACTGCCCTCTATCGAAAATATAGCAGTTTGCACTCCAACCAGCAATGTATGAGGCTCAGTTACACAACAGCCTTAAACCAATATAATCTTTAAATATTAATTGTTTAAAATTAAAAATAAATTTCCATTTACAAAGATAGTTGGCTTGTTAAGTAAATATTTAAAATATTGGTCTAATATGAGAGAGTGATTGTGAAAAAAGATGTCAAAGCAATCTTTAAAAATATATTTTCTTTTTTTCTTAAGAGATGGGGTCTTCCTATGTTGCCCCCAGGCTGGTCTTTAACTCCTGGACTCAAATGATCCTCCTGCCTCAGCATCCCAAAGTGCTGGGATTACAGGCATAAGCCTCTGTGCCAGTCTAAAGGATTTATGTGTATGAAATATATGAAATATATATCCTTTAGATAAGGCAATCTTTTTTTTTTTGAATTAGAGTCTCACTCTGTTGCCCAGGCTGGAGTGCAGCGGCACACTCACAGCCACCCCAGCATCGACCTGCTGGGCTCAGGGGATCCTTCCACCTCAGCCTTCCAAGTAGCTGGAACTACAGGCGCGTGCTACCATGCCTGGCTAATTTTTTGATTTATTGTAGAGATGAGGTCTCATCATGTTGCCCAGGCTGGTCTCGAACCCGCAGGCTCAGGCAATCCACTCACCTCCGTCTCCCAAAGTGCTGGGATTATAGGCTGAGCCACCAAACCCAGCCAAGGCAATCTTTAAATGAAAAAGGGATGAAATGTTTACTGTAGAGGAACAGGGACTTGAATATTTTACTCACCCGTTCCTTAATTTTTTCAGTCAGGAATGGTTTAATCATGGAAAAGACAGCATGGAAAATTACTGGTTCATTTATCAAATGGATGCCACGAACTTTCAATGGAAAGGAATCCTTTTGAAAATAAAGAAAAACATTTTCTTAACAACAAAATGTAAATAAATATTACAATCTTATTTCTAATGAGACGTCTCTGCTAAACTTATAGCATTACCTAAAGTGGGATTTTACTTTCAAACTTATTTATTCCATCAACACAAAAGTCTGGTTTATAATTCACTGTCACTAGATTAAGAGCAGATCTCCAAGAAGGTTTTTCCAGCCAGCTGCGGTTGTGCACACAAATCCCAGCACTTTGGGAGGTCAAGATGAAAGAACGTCTTGAGCCCAGGAATTTAATACCAGCCTGGGCAACAGAATGAGACCTTGTCTTTACCAAAAAAAAAATCAAAAAATCAGCCAGACATGGTAGCACATGCCTGTAGTCCCAGCTACTCAGAGGTTGAGGAAGGATCATCTGAGATCAAGAGGTACAAGCTACAGTGAGCTGTAATCATGCCACTGACTCCAGCCTGGGTGACAGAGTGAGACTCCAACTCCAAAAAGAAAAAAGTATTTGAGAAAGCTTTTCCTTATGGCTTCGGCAAAGTACTTTAAGAAATACCTGGGCCAGGAGCGGTGGCTCAAGCCTATAATCCCAGCACTTTGAGAGGCCGAGGCAAGAGGATTGCCTGATCCAGTGGGTTGGAGGCCAGCCTGGGCAACATGGTGAGACCTCGTCTCTACAATAAATCAAAAAATTAGACGGGCGTGGTAGTGTGCGCCTGTAGTTTCGGTTACTTGGAAAGCTGAGGTGGAAGGATGGCCTGAGCCCAGCAGGTCGAGACTGCAGTGGCTGGAAGAATGCCACTGCACTCCAGCCTAAGCAATGGAGTGAGACTCCAACTCACAAAAAAAAAAAAAAAGAAAAGAAAAGAAATACCTGTACACTTTTCACCAGAAAATTCCTTCCACATATAAATGTTCTCTTAAGGAACCAATGGGTCATTTGGCCATCTATATTTAATTTTTTCCCATAATTTTTATTTTGAAAAAAACTTTCATAAAGATTTTTAAAACAGTACAATAAACATACATTTTTAAACTTTGTTTTGTTTTTCTTGTGAGTTGGGGTCTCACTCTGTCACCCAGGCTGGAGTGCAGTGGCACGGATCACAGCTCTCTGCGGCCTCAACTTCTGGAGCTCAGGTGATCCTTCTACCTTGCCTCCTGAGTAGCAGGGACTACAGGCATGCCACCAAACCCAGCTAAGTTTCTGATGTTTTGTAGAGACAAGGTCTCGCTATGTTGCCTAGGCTGGTCTCCAACTCCTGGACCCAAGTGATCCTCCTGCCTCGGCCTCCCAAAGTCCTGGGATTACAAGCCTGAGCCACTGCACCTGGCCCATTTTTAAACTTTTGACATTGGTATACCTTTAGCTTCAAAATAATAAAGGTTTATTTAGAAAACTTAGTCAATCAAGAGATGAAAGAAAAAAATAGTTTCCCTACCCAAAAGTCGTGCTGCTATTATAGAAACTTTTCCTTTCAAGGCACTTTTATGCAAAGTTCTTTTTTGTCTGTGCATAGCTTTTAGAGATGTATAATTAATTTGGGGCTTTTCCTTCCACATCCCTTTGGTGCATTTTACTTTAACCATAAATGCTAACATCCTGTTGAAATAATATGCATCCTATTTTGTTCCATTGATATAAGGCAGTTTTTTAAAAATAAATATCATGTTTTACTATTGTTACAATAACTTATCAAGTGAATGTAACATAATTTAAGAAAGCATTTTGTTATTTCTGGACAAATAAGTTGTTTCTAATGTTCTTCTACTAGAAGTGATGCTGCTGTAAGTATCTGCAGTATTGCAGAAGTGATGGTTACAAGCACAACTTTCACTTTCAGATGGCCTGCACTGGAATCCTCACTTCACTGTTGACAAACTGTGTGTGCCTAGGCATGGCTATATCACCTCTCTGACATAATTTGCCAATGTGTAAAATGGAAAAAACAACATGTCATAAGCTCAGTATGAGCATTAAAAGGCAATGCATTTAAAACATGTGACAAAGTACCCAGCACATAGTAAGCTATTATTCTTATATATGAAGTCTTTACTATGTAAAGACTTTCTATGTTCCCAGAAGTAGAATTACTGGGTCAAAGATGATAACCATCTTAAAAAATCTTTTGATTTATTTTTTTAAAAAGCCTATATCAATATTTTCCTACCAAGAATTAGGTTACATGTTATTGTACCATTGCTATAAGTATTTGTGAGTCAATTTTTTAATTTAGGAAAAATATTTTAATGACAAAGTCACCAAATATCATTAAAATCTATAAATTATGTGGTTACTAAATTTTGAACATATTTCTGCAGTTGCAACTTTTTGCATAAATTAGTAACACTTTGCTTCCTCTGAGCATTATTGAATTCTATGGGTCATTTCTAAAATTTTATTTAAGTTTCTAATAAATGTACTATTGCTCTCTTTAACACATAAGAAAATTGTGAACTATTACTGGAAGTATTATACCTAACAGTTAAAATATACACTTACTGTAAGTACAGCAGCAATCTTCTTGGCTACAGATGGGGTAATTTGAAAAGCATGCGAAAACTGCCAACCTTCCAGATCAAAGATAGCCTTGATTCCATTCCGTTGAGTTTCTACCTCCCGTACGATAAGCTCAGATGTGATTAGACTTACACGAAATACATCATAGGCTGTAAAAACTTTTGGGTCCCAGTGTGCTTGAAAAAAACAAAGCATATCATATCTCAGCAATTGTTTAAAGAATGATAAAGGCTTACAAAGGAAACGAATTCTTTTCAAAGGATCAGTAAAAACAAAAACATGACCAAGATCATGAACTGAGTAATAGATCAAATTGGGGTCCTAAAACATGTTGCCTGCTTCTCCCTCCCTCCTCAAATCCCTAGCAAAGAATGAATTTTCAAGAGTCTAAGGGAAAAAAGAATGGGCACAGGCTGGGTTTGATGACAAGATGAAATCACAGTCTCACAGAGAGGAGAGGTCTGTGGCTAAAGGTGGAAATACACTGGAGATGCTCCAAGCTCAGAGGTGTTGGAAATGGGAAATGCAAGGGCCTAGATTATGAGCAACTAGGGCCCCGTGGTAACCAAAGAGGTTGCTCAGGGAAACGCACGAGGAGCAGACAGACAGGTTGATCCTCTGATAGCCCTCAGTAATAAGTAGCACATAGCATAGCCATGTTTATACAGGCTAGAAGAGTAAGTGTGGGCCTGGGAGATAAGAATCAGGGAAGCACCCAGGTAGCTTCCCATACCCAGGGAAAACAAGGAGGACCTCTGCTAAGAGAGGAGTTGCTGACATTCGTGTCCCCACATCTCACCCCTCCCCCACAGTTCTGGGACAGGTCATGGCATGCAAAAATAACAGTAATGGACAACCAAGCAGGTCATCTTTAAAAAAAAAAAGTTCATTCCTTAAAATTGGAATATTAAACACACACATGCATGCATGAACATACACACACAAAGGAACCAAACGCAATAGACAAAAGTATCAAAACTCAAGGAAACAATTAAGAAATCAGGAGACATTAAAGAAGCATAATAGAAGTTAACCGTGATGGTATACACCTGTAATCCCAGCTACTCAGGAAGCTGAGACAGAGAAGATCACTGGAGACCAGGAGTCTGAGTCTAGCCTAGGCAACATGTCGAGACCTTGTCTCTTTTCTTTTGAGCTGGAGCCTCACTCTGTTGTCCAGGCTGGAGTGCAGTGGCACGCTCACAACCGCTGCAGCCTCGACCTGCTGGGCTCAGGCAATCCTTCTGCCTTAACCTTCCAAATAGCTGGAACTACAGGCATGTGCCACCACGCCCAGCTGATTTTTTTTTTAATTTATTATAGGAACGAGATCTCGCCATGTTGCCCAGACTGGTTTCGAATCCCTGGGCTCAGGCAATCCTCTTGCCTCGATCTCCCAAAGTGCTAGAATTATAGGTGTGAGTTACCACGCCCAGCCTGAGACCTTGTCTCTTTAAAAAAAAAAAAAAGAAAAAGAAGAAGAAGACGCAGCATAATAGTTTCAATGGGAGTTGCAGAAAAATCCTGTAGGCCATTATTATAAGAACAGGCTATTATTAAAAAGAATCAGTCGAGACCTTGGAAATAAAATATAATTCAAAAGAAGAATCTCAGTTGAGGGAATAAAAGATGGAAAAGATAGAGCTAATAGGGGAATAGCAGTTTGGAAGATGAGGTTGAAGAATTCTCTCAAATTTAGCACAAGAAAGCCAAGAGTTGATATGTATGAATAAAATATTAGGAGATATATGGAGCTGGGTCCAGAAGTGTTGACATCCAACCAATAAGGATTCTAGAAGGCAATAGCAGAAAACAGGGAATAGAGGGGACGGAAATAGCAACAGGAGAGAAAATTTTCCAAAACTGAAAAAAAGACATAAATCTTTTGATTGAAGGGTCCATAAATTGCCTAACAGGATGAATGCAAAAGAAAAAAGAAAGAAGATTCATACCTAGTAATGGCAAGTCTTAAAAAAAGTTTCACGGGCAAATGAGTAGAATGGTGATACCATATATTGAGATAGGAGAGGAGAAGTGTTTTGGATGGAAAAGAGCATAAGCAACTTTGGACATGTTAAAAGGTGACTATAGCCAGGCACAGTGGCTCACGCCTATAATCCCAGCACTTTGGGAGCCAGAGGCAAGATGATTGCCTGAGTCCAGGGTTTCAAGACTAGCCTGGGCAACTTGGCAAGACCTCATCTCTACAAAAAGTCAAAGAAATAGCAGGGTGTAGTGGTATGTACCTGTGGTTCCAGCTACTTGGAAGGCCGAGGTGGAAGGATTGCCTGAGCCCAGCAGGTCGAGGCTGTGGTGGTCATGAGCGTGCCACTGCACTCCAGCCTGGGCAACAGAGTGAGACTCCAACTCAAAAAGAAAAAAGGGTGACTGTGTGACATCCAACTGGATGCAACTAACATAGATGCTGGTTGTATGGGTTGGGTCTGAATCCACAGAAAGAAGATGAGGGTGAAGATACAAATGGGAGGTATTTTATGCTTATATGACAATCTATGACAGGGATTGTCTTAAATCTGTGTTTTTCTCTATTGTAGAGAGATATTGTAGCATGGGAAGAGAAGGCTGAAGCCAATGTCCTAAGGAATTTCAGAATTTAAAGAGTGAGTTGAAGAGGTGATGCCAGCAAAAGAGAATAAGAAGGAACAGCCAGTTAAAACAGAAGAAAAGGCCAGGTTCAATGGCTCAGCCTGTAATCCCAGCACTTTGGGAGACTGAGACAAGTAGATTGCCTGAGCCCGTGGGTTCGAGACCAGTCTGGGCAACTTGGTGAGACTTCGTCTCTATAATAAATCAAAAATTAGCCAGGCATGGCAGGACACACCTGTAGTTGGAAGGCTGGGCGGAAGGCTCGCTGGAGTCCAGCAGGTCGATGCTGGGGAGGCCATGAGCATGCCACTGCACTCCAGCCTGGGTAACAGAGTGAGACTCCAACTCAAAAAAAAAAGAAAAAGAGGAAAATAGGAGAATGTGGCATCAGAAAAGCCAAAGGAAGAGGACATTTCAAGAGAGAGGAAGTGTTTTGCTGTGTTGAGAGATTAAGAAAAATAGGATTAAACATGTCCACTAGATTGGTGAAAAGAAAGTCACTGATGATTGATTAAGGTCATTTCAGTAGGGGTGGGAGTAGAACCAGACCAGGGTAGACTGAGGAAGAACTGTGAAAAAAACACGGATGGTGAACATCACTAACTTAAGAAGTTTAACTGAGAAGAAGAGAGAGGTGATGGGCGGAATGGAGGCTGGAGGGCTTTGCGGGATTAAGGAGTTATTCTTGTTTTGGATAGCTAACTCTTTTTTTTTTTTTTTTTTGAGTTGGACTCTCACTCTGTCACCCAGACTGGAGTGCAGTGGCCGCTCCCAGCCACCGCAACCTTGACCTGCTGGACTCCAGCGATCCTTCCGCCTCAGCCTTCCAAGTAGCTGGAACTACAGGCGCACGCTACCACGCCCAGCTAGTTTTTTGATTTATCGTAGAGATGAGGTCTCCCCAAGTTGCCCAGGCGGGTCTCGAACCCGCGGGCTCAGGCAATCCACTCACCTCAGCCTCCCAAGGCGCGGGATTACAGGCTGAGCCACCGAGCCCAGCTCGGATAGCTAACTCTTAAGGGATTTAAATGTTAATTGGTAATATCTAGTCACAAGGAAAAAGCTGAAGATCTAGAAAGAGAAAGGATAATCAGATGTATTCCTAGGAATGCACAATGGGATTGCCCTTGTATTTTAAAAGCCTCAAATTCCTAGTAAGAATTTGAATAATCAACCTATGTATAGCCCCACTCAAAAAATACTATAACTTCCTATACTGGCTGAAAGCTACAATGATGAAACATACAAACAGGACAAGTGAAGTTGGCAGATCTGAAAGTAGTTACTGAGCTACATTTCTGAACCATCCATCATGACTGTCTGACCTGCACTGTCCATTATGGTAGTCATTAAAAACTACAGGAGCTATTAAAAATTCTGCTTCTTAGTTGCAGTAGCCACATTTCGAGTGTTCAATCGCTACAAGTGGCTAGTGGCTACTGTAAAACATCATCATCATAGAAACTACTAGATAATGCTGGCTAGACTTTAACCTCCATTAAGGCAAAAGAAAAACATACCGTACATTTTTCATTCCTTCTCCAGCATCTTCTTAACATTTATTGAGTGCTTATTATATACCAGGTAATGCTTTTGTTATATTTTAGATAGATAGATAAATTTAATGCTCACAACAACCATATGTTATTTATTTACTTGTTTATTTTTTTTTTTTTTTGAGTTGGAGTCTCACTCTGTTGCCCAGACTGGAGTGCAGTGGCTGCTCCCAGCCACCGCAGCCTCGACCTGCTGGGCTCTGGCGATCCTTCCGCCTCAGCCTTCCAAGTAGCCGGAATTACAGGCATGCACTACCACGCCCAGCTGATTTTTTGATTTATTGTAGAGATGAGGTCTCGCTGCCCAGGCGGGTCTCGAACCCGCGGGCTCAGGCCATCCACTCACCTCAGCCTCCCAAAGGCGCGGGATTACAGGCTGAGCCACCGAGCCCGGCCTACTTGTTTATTTATTTTTGCTAGAGTCAGTCCAGACTGGAGTGCAGTGGCACACTCCCAGCTACCACAGCCTTCACCTGCTGGGCTCAGGTGATCCTTCTGCCTCAGCCTGCCAAGTAGCTGGAACTACAGGCACGCACCACCATGCCCGACTAATTTATTTGTTTATTTATTATAGAGATGAGGTCTCACCATGTTGCCCAGGCTGGTTTCAAACCCCGGGCTCAAGCAATTATCCCCACCTCCCAAAGTGCTGGGATTACAGGCATGAGCCACTGCACCCTCCAACCATATGTGACAGAGTTTTTACTATGCCCATTTTACAGATGAGAAAGTACAGTTACGGTTGCATAGCTTTCCACACGGCTAGAATGGAGCACAGCTGAGATTCCAACCTATATCACATACCCTAGAGCCTGTATTCATAAGAACTTGGTCCTAGTCAAAACTGAATACCCCTGTTAAATTTTGCTTTTTCTGCTGCAGTATTGTAGTGGATCTCAAAGACATAATATTCTATCTTCTGGCATGTAGGCTCGTAAAGGTCAAAACTTAGTTTCATCTTGGGTTGCCCTGTCAGGTTGGAGGAAAAAGTTTTGAGCTTTTTCCTCATTGCTTGTACTGCACAGAGAGGGCACCGAGGGGAAGTGGTTATACTAAGGTTCTGCTAGAAACATCTGCCACCGATTTCCTTTACTACTCCCATTAATTCAATTAAGTTTAGGAAATTTATAAATCTTTATTTTATTCTTTCATTTGACTCATAAAATTCTTCTGGGTTTCTCCTTTTCATCCTAGAATAACACAATACACTGATTTGTCGCACACCTCCCCGTTTTGACCATCACTAAACTACACGTTTTCTTGATTTTCAGATCTCTTTGAGTTCAACAAGACACTTATCAATTAATATACCATAAGAGGCCCAGGCAAGACAACAGGCCTACTGGTTCAATGTTAAAGTATTTGTGATCAAAGTAGCACATCTACTTTCTAACTATCAAGGTGTCATTTTTACTTCTTCACCTGCTCTGGTTAGTTTAGAAACAAACTAGAAAAAAAAAAAATCTAAGCCAGGCTCGGTGGCTCAGCCTGTAATCCCGCGCCTTGGGAGTTAAGGTGAGTGGATTGCCTGCGCCGGTAGGTTCGAGACCTGCCTGGACAATTTGGCGAGCCCTCATCTCTACGATAAATAAAAAAAAATTAGCCGGGCGTGGTAGCGCGCGCGTGTAGTTCCAGCTACTTGGAAGGCTGAGGTGGAAGGATCGCCGGAGCCCAGCAG